AACCTAAACAACAAAACAAAGAAACAAGCAAAATATAACCAAAGACACTGAAATAGAGAACAGGCTGGCAGTGTTCAGAGGAGAAAGGAGAGGGAATTTCAGGGGAAAGGGGGAAGGTTTTACAGAAACAAGTATAAAGGACACATGGGTAAAAAACTAGGGGCAGGTGGAAATGGGAGGGAGGAGGGGAGGGTTGGGTAGGTGAGCTGGGATGGGAGTGAAAGATAGAAAATTGTACTTCAACGACAATTAAAATAAAATTTATAAATAAATAAGTAAATAAATAAACAAATAAAATAAGGGGAATTAGTGCCACTGTCCTTTTCTGTTTGGTCTACATCACCCAGATTATTGCCTTCGTAAGCCACTTGGTTACCTGAAGGAGAGAGAATGCTTCTCAAAATTACCACGTTTGACTCTAACATTGTAGAACATAGTAGCCTACAGGAAACACCTGGGAATCTACGTGCTTGGTTGTCTACGCAATCCGCATAAAAGTTCAGATGTAGGACTTGGCTCAGCCCAACCCAGCATTGTCCAGGACATAGAAAGGTTTGCGAATCCCAGATGTCTTGGTACAGGTGTCCCTAAGTTGAGTTGGGTTCTGGGTTATAGAAAATGCACTTCTGGTGTTCTGTGCCAGTGGCGCAGTCATCTCTGTGGGGGGCATGTGAGTCTCTTGAAGACAAGATTCACAGAATAGGATGTAAGTATGCTCTCTGTGTAGATGTTCCTAGTACTCTCAGACCTCGGGCTGCTGTTCTACATGAAAAATTAATAAGTGGCATTCTGGTTTAAAAAACAAACTAATTTGCTAAATGATGTTGGATGAGTCATATCACCTTTGATCTCCAGTATTATAAATAAAATGCAGGGCTTGGAAAAGGTGGTTATAGAAGAGGAAAAAGCAAGGAATGAAAGAATGGAACATGGGTTCAAGTTTTACTCCAGGCCCACTCTGTAAGGAAGTAGGGCCCCAAAGAGACCATCCAGTTTGCAAAATAAATAAATAAATAAATAAATAAATAAATAAATAAATAAATAAATAATTTTTAAAAGAAAGAAAAAAGAATTCTCTCAAACTGAGAAAATGAATCATTCTAACAGATATTTAAAGTATACTGTTGAAGTTAGATTTTATTTTATAGAATCTTTTATGTCTACATTCCCAAGTGAAATTGCTCTGTCATTTTCTTTTCTTATTCTTTTGGGGTTTTGAATCAATGTAAAATTGGCCTCATGAAGTGAGTTGTCTTTTCCTAACAATTTCTTAAATTTATCACTCTCTCTATATATATTGTATCCAAACAGGACATTTTCCTTAGCACACTCTCACCTGCCCTTTTTCTCTGTCTTCTCCACTCATGCTATACATACAATGTTGATATTGTCCAGAATTTTAGTTTTGAAGTCTTAGAGATGCAATTTTTATCTCTTATTTTTTAGTCCATATTTATTTAAACAAGAATAAAATTCACTTATCCCCATTTCTTATATCAAAATGTACATTTCTAGTAATATATCTTTCTTACTGGAATACTAATTGTTTTTAAAAAGGGTCTTTATTAATATTTTTTCTTTCACTCTTTAAAAATTAGCTATCTATATAGAAAATTATGTGTTCAATTTTTATCTTTAATATCTTGAAAAGATTACTTTATGGACCCAGAGTTAGTGTTGAGAAGTTCAATGTCAATTTAACTCTTTTTTCTTATATGTAATGAGCTTTTATTCTTTAAAAGCCTTGAGAGTTTTTTACTTATTTTCAGTAGTCATACATTTTACTATAATGTTTCCCATTGAAGGCTATTATTAGTAGCAGCAGTAGTAGTAGAAACTTGTCTTTTAAAATTTAGCTCTTAGGTCTTTTTTTTAACTCTGGGAAATACTCAAAGTTATTTCTTCAAAATTTTTTCTCCCATAGATTGATTTTTTTCTTTCCTTCTGAGATTCCAATTATATGATTTTTGGACCATATCACCTAACAGTTACTATGTATTTATCATGTGTCTGTGCCTATTTTTTTTTTTTTGCGGGATGGGGAACAATGTCTTTTAAAAAAGGAAATTTTACTTTTATACATTAAGAACATTTTAGATACAAAATGTAGTATTCTTAAAGAATGCACAGAAATATAAGATATAAATTTTATAAAAGAAAATAGCCTAATCCACAATTCAGTTATAAACAAAACATGTGCTATGCTCCATCTACTAAGTCTGTTGTTTAAATAATAGCATCACTCTAAATGCCACCTAATTGATTTGGAGGGGGTTTCTTCACTTGAACTCAGATTTAAATTAATACTGATTGGTCCTTTCTTGCTTTTCTTTGTGTTGATGACCTTGAAGTCGAGATCAAAAGACAGAACGTGATCTTGGCGGTAGACAGAAAGCTCTGCTTCTTTTTTGTTCTCCATCCACGCTGCATCTCCTACTCAGGGGTCAGTGATTCTCCTCATCCTCTTTCAAAAGCTGTTCATTCTTTCTCCCATCTCTTCTAGTGCATTACTTACTGTCTTTGGAGTCTTTCTCCTCCCTACCACCTGGAACATAAAAATAGATATTTTCTCATGCCCAACGTGGGTACATTTGCACAAGATAGAAATTCCACCAGGCTGGTGAAGAGGAGCTATAAAAGAAAGGAAAGAGCCATTTTACTCCCCGCTAAGCATTGAGTGTGCCTGTCTTTTTCACAGAGTGCCTTGTCTTAACATTCCAATATATTAATTTGTTCTTCTGATCCATTCTTCTATCAATCTTTATTTTTTATGTTCTGTATCTCCAATTGATTTTTTTATTCATAATGGATTATTGCTTTTTGTTTCCAATATTTTCCCTTATTATTTTTAGTATGTTAGACTAAATTTAAATGATTCTTTTTCTGGTCCATGAATTCTGCTCCATCTGGTAAGGGTGGTTCAGTGTGTCTTTTGATGACAGAATTTACTACACATCTCAGGGGTTTCTAGTTGCTGCCTGTGGACTCATTTCCCTGAGGTTACCTGCTACCTTAACTGCAAATGCAAAGTTAGGAAAAGGGAAAAAATCTCAGGCTACAGGTTGGATCACTTCTGATGAGTTTTGGGAGCTGGAAATACAGGGTCCGGCAGACGGAACACCTGCTTGAGTGTGGTTGGTAGGGTAATAAGATGGGTGTAATAATTTACAGTTTTAATTTGAACACTTCACCTAATATGTCAAATAGTGTACTTGAGTGTGATATTGTGCTTATGATTTTGTAATAAAATAGGGGTGTTATTTGTGCTAGACCCTGTATATGGAAGCAGGTAGTCTTTCGAATTACAAACTGAGCTATCTCATTCTCTGCTCCCTCCTACCTCGATTCTGACCATTCCGCCCTAGGATCTCAAATTTTTCAACAGCCTCATCTCAAGGCTATAATCATCTGATGGGGCTGAAGGGGTGGGAGCCTGAGGAGGTGAGTGGAACATGTTGGAAGGAGGAAATGCCCAGGTTCTGGCAAGTTTACCACTGTTCTTATTACCTGCTGCTCACTCCAGCTGGGCCCCAGCACTGCCCTGCATTTAGCAGGCTACTTCCTTCCAGTTCTGTGCTGACTTTGTTGTTTTTCTGCTTCTCACTGTCTCTGGCATAGCAAAAGTGGAGCCTGGGCAATGTGGCAGACAGAACAGGCAGAACCTGAATGCTCTTTCCCTAACCTATCACCCCTCTGATGGAGGCTATTTTCCATGTTCCCCAATCCCCAATCCCCAATCCCTCAAGGGACCTAACCACCTTGCACCTCTCTCCAGGAACTTCCTCCCAGTTTTATCTCACTTTTTGAGACCCATCAAACTCCCTCTTTTGCTTTTGTGGCAACTCCAAGGTAAGGTTTGAGGAAGGCATTCAGCAGCCATGTCCATGCGATGTCTTTCTTGGAACAGTGGTTGCCAGAGGTCATCGGAGCTCTGAGAGGACACATCAGGCCCCTTAGGTGACTCACTGGCTGATTTCTTTTAGCATAATCTTTTTCTTGCTGTTGTTTTTTGTGTTCCTTAAAAATCTTCTGCTGAGTCCTAATGTGTAAAATAGGTGAGATCAGCGATGCCTTGACTGAAGCAGGACTGGGGACTCGGCAGCCTGGCCCTGCCTGCCCTGTGAATCCCACGGAAGTCTCCACGGAAGTTTAGATCTGTGCAGAACAGTCTGAAAAACTACCATTCAAGCAGCCTGTGTGGCAACGTCTGTAGTTTCATTTATTTTACCTTCTCTTGTTTACTAAGAATTCATTTTATGGATAAAAGACCCTCTTTTCTTATTTAAATGCATCACTTTTTTTCCTGCACCTTTTTACTATATATAGAAAGAATGAGATGAACTAGTGGTCCCCAGGCTAATGTGCCTTCATGATTTTTCTGTGGAGGAGAAAATCTTTAAAACGTATCCCATCCTTGCTAGATCTCAGTCTTAGGTAGTAGTTTAGGGGGTAGTAGTTTAGACCTCGTAAACAACTGGAAGCAAGCACTCTACATTGCTTGTCACTCCTGACTGATGATGAAACTGTGTAAATGTCAACATCAGACTGGGGGTCTGGCCTGTAGGGAGAAGATTATTGCTAGAGGAGTGAAAACTGCTCATTCCTTCAACCATTCATCACCCATCCATTCGATAAAACCAACCATCCTTTACACACTTCCTGGGCATCTACAGAGAGTGCCTTAAGGGCTAGGCTTTGGCTTGCTCCTTCCTGTATGCCATGCAAAGTCTAGTAAGCACAAGGTAGGTACCCGCAAAACATGTAGGGGTCAAAGACCTTATTCTTGAACTTATGGCAGCTGTCAGAGCGGGCACAACTATTTCTAAACTTTCTAGGACAATTGCAGAGATAAACATTACAAGCTTGTAAGGACTTCCTCAAAGCTAACCTATATTTTCACAGCTACAGCTAACAGCTTGATTCCATCTTGCTAGCCCCTTGAATGAAATAGAAATCGGCCCTGCCTGCAAAGTCTCTGAGACAAAAAATGAAATTTACACTTTAAGACACAAGACTAATCCATTTATTCGGTGTGTTCTGTAAGTGGAGGAGGGAAATTGTTGGCAAATAAATAAATAAATAATCAGACGAACGGAGACTTGAGGGCCAAGGAGGAGCCGAGGAGGAGGAAGCGGAGTCTTTGCATAGTTCTAAATGAACACAAGGTGGCAGCGGTAGGCAACGTGGATTCTCAGCAGAAATGCAGCACTTGCAAAAATCAGGGATAGGAGGCTCTGAGAAAGGTCAGAAGGTGACTAACTATTTCTTTGTCTCAGAGACTGTGGTCTTACAAGATCTGCCTGGGCATCCCGTACCCGGTCATGCCCGCCTGGGAGGCGCCCTTGTTGCTGCCCATCTGCAAGCCTATCACATTCTGTCCCTGGCGAAGCTGCTCCTCTGAAAATCCTCTTCGATTCTGCTGGGCTTTCCTGGGCAGAGAGAGTAAGATGGAATAATGTCATCTGACAGTGTTCAAACCCTTCCCAAGATATGCAGTTATACAGGCGTTAGTGTGTGTATGTGGGGCTGGGTGGGGGGAAGGGGAGCAGGTCACCAGGCAGAAGAGCAGGCCCTATCCTACGCTCCATGTCTGGGAACGAACTACGGCGCTACTCTTAACTGTGGCCTTACCCTGAGCCCTGTTTCTACGCTGAGCAGGGGCCCTACCCCGAACAATCCCTATGAAGCATGAGCTCCTGCTCCTTAGAAGTCCAGATGGTTTTCTAGACTTTCCAGCAAAGGTCAGTAGCTGCCTCTCTGGGGACTTCATGCTCAGCTTTCCTGTCTCACTCTCTCTCAGATACTTCAAACCCTTTCGAAAATTAAAATCAGCTCTTATTACAAAGCATGTCATCAATCCCATTCCACCCTTCCCTGTAAGGGCCAAGGGTTCATGTTCCATTTTAGAGCTGAAGGACCTAGGAGTTATAAAGGGGAAATTTCTTACTTGAGACAAGAAGTCAGCAAACTTCAGTAAAGAACCAGATAGTAAATAATTTTAGGTGGGGGGAGGGGGGTCATAGAGACCATGGTACGTCATTAATAAAGTTAGGACTAAAACTGGGATTTCAACTGGCAGTATCTAGGAGGTTTTCAAGACCAGGTTCTTCTAAAAGACACAGACTTGCACATTTCTATAACTGCCAAGAAGAAGAAGGGGCTGGGGAAAGGAAGAGTCAATTATCTGGTACAACATGCTCTTTTCTCTCCATGCCCCACTGAGTTACTGGGTTGAGTTTAAGCTCCCTTGCTCACCCCAGCCACTGAAAAAAACAAAAAAACAAATCTTCTTAGGAAAACACCTTTCACTGACATGAACATATGATTTATTAGCCAGACCAGGCCACTTCTGAGAGTGAAAGAAAGTGCTACTAATAAATATTCCATGACAACAAGCTTTAACCACTGTCTCAGGCAACTAGGACATATTTTCCCTCCATTATGTGGATGGGTAGATAGACAGACTGACTGACTCAGGGCTACTTGGGTTATGATAAAACCAAGTTCCAATCAAGCCACCTCTGAGAAAAGTAATTCAGTCTCAGGACAAACAGAACCTGGGCAGAGCTGAAGGATCGGAGTATCTGGCAGCAAAGGCCTGACCGTCTTGCTATGGGTGGGATGTGGGTGTCAGCCTGGGTCTGTCCTTGCTCTGGGGCACTTAGCTGTGGAGCCAGCAGTGCTTGTCCTGAGGGATTTTGTGTGGAAATAGCCTCTGGGAGCTACAAGGCTTCAGATGCTCGCTTTTGCTAAAGTCGTTGTCTGCTCTGGCAGGGCTGAGAAGGCATTTTACCTGTGAAACCAGGACGGCTCTCCCCGGTAGCAGCCATCATCCTTGGTGACCGCAACACTGCCTAGAGCCATCAGGGTCCTCTGCACAGCCGCCATGTCCTTCCCTGGAGATCAACCAAGAGATTAAAGCCAAACATGTGTCAGGGCCAAGGAATCTGGACAGATGGGGCTGGACCATCGGGAAGGAAGTTCTGACAGGAGGCTGCAGGCGATCACACTCAGGGGAGAGGGGTATCAGATACTTCTCAGAGCGGCCTGAAGACAACTGCAGCCAAACCTCTCAGAAAGGAGCAAAACATCACCTGGCTCATCCTTTTCTTTATGATGCAAGCCAAAGAACCAGTTTCTAATCCATTCAGAGTCGCTGCATGAATAAAACATTCCAAACACCCTCAGATCTAGCTCAGATCTAGGTTGGTCCCTGCCCCCAGCAGAGGCCCTGGGCTCGGTGGGTTCTGCAGGTTGTAGTAAGAAGAAGTCCTGTGGCAAGGCTGGCTTGGGGCACTGCAGAAGAGGATTTTGCTCAGGATGGGAAAGAGAAAAGGAGACTGGAAAGAAACTGGTTGGATGGATTAACTGCACCAAACCCCAGGTGGCTTCTCTCTTTCACTTTATCTGGGTTAAAAGGGTCTAAAATCACCCATGTGCATCAAATTGAGTATTCACATGGCTATTTGGGCTGGAGGCCCGGCAAATGAAGAAAACAAATCAACACAGAAAGCACTCAATGTGACACAAATGATAGGCCCTTTATTTTCTGCTGCTTGAAGGAGTTAATGGAGACAATAAATAACTGGCGGGCATGCGTGCATGAGATGGACAGGGAAGAGAGAGAGAGGTGTGCCTATGGGAGGAGAAGCACCGTTAATTTGAGGAGCCCAGTCACCCCTCAACCCATGGAGAAAGCAATTGGACCCTCCGGGCCTGCCTACTTCTCCCATCTTCTCTCCATTCCTCCCTTCCCGTTGACTGACACTTCCTAGACTAAGGAAGCTGCTATTGTGTGGTTAGCCCTGCAGTTAAGATCTAGATCCAAGGTCCATGTGAACCAAGTATGGAGCACGAAAGCTAAAGGTTCGACATAAGAGGGGAAGGCGGCATCAGCCTGGTGGGGAGCTGGGAAAGTTAAAGACAAATATTAAGATGCACTTTTTAGATTGAGTGAACCATTGATGGTCTCTCCAGCCCAGCTGCTGCAGCTCAGTCACTGGGAAATACAGAATTATGGGGGAAAGGCAGATGGAAAGTGAGAATAGAGTATAACTCTAATAAAATAAGCAATTAGGGCTCACAGAGGAAGTTGAGTTCAGGAAGTCCATTTATTCAGAAATGAGAGAGACAGCAGATCCTTCTTCCCCTGCCTCTCTCCTCCACCCCATTAACCACGGGGGAGATTTCCTGGATTCTGAAGCCCTGCGGGACTGGTAAATGGATATGGGGATAAAAGGCTTTCCTTGGAGAGACCCCCAGACTCAAGGGACAGCTGGGGTGGCGGAGAATGGAGACTCGGGCAGCAGATGGGAGGAGGAGGGCACAAGGAATACTGAGAATTGAGACCGAAGAAACAGGGGTGATTATTAGAATGATTTGTCTCTACTGCAGATGAAAAACATTTCTGTAGTTGTCACTGAGTAACAGAATACTTGGATACTTTTCTAAGAAAACATAACCGTAGTGATGATCTTCTGAAGGATCACTCTGGGAAGAGAGAGAGAGGGTTTGCTCTTAAGTCGTGAGTTGTTAAAGAGAGCCCAGCAAAATGATTAAGCACAGGGAGGCTAGGAAGGTTAGGGTATATCACTCATGTCCACCTGGATAAGGAGCACACCAGAGGTTTCTGATGGCCAGAAAGGGTGGGTCTGGTATGTCCAGGTTCTAGGAATTTGTGGAGCCCGACAGCCTAGCAACTCAGCCAGACACTCCCCTGGAGCCGTGGGTGGAGAAGCTAGCTCTGGGAACCATAGACCCAGCCTCCTTCCCAAGTAGCTGGCTGATGTATCTACTGTATGAACCCATAAAGGATGGAGGGAATGAAGTTAGGGGCAAACGGGAGATCCAGGATCCTAGAACTATAAATATCACCCACCTTCATCCCAGAGAAAAGGAAGCAATTACATGATTGGGGCAAAAGGAGCTAGGGAAGGAGGCACTAGACAGGAGCAATATGGAAAGGTTTCCCTTAAGACTGTTCCCAAGGCAAGAGATTTGATATAAAGCATAGTCCAGACACTTCATTATACGTGGCATCGACCCCATAGAACTGATGTTATTCCTCCCAACGTGTGGATAGAAAAACTGATTCAGGGTGATTAATTGTCATGCCCAGAGTAACCCAACAAGTAAACCAGGGCCTGGGTCTAGCTCTGATGTCTGAAAATAAAGCCCACAAAGTCCACCCTACACGGGTCCCCATGGCAGGCTGGCTGAGGTACCTGCCTCGGTGATGTGGGGGAGATCTGATGGGAGGGCAGTGGCTGGTTCAGGGCCTGGCCAGAGGGAACTCACCGGCAGGAGGAGACTGGGCCACAGTCTTGGGCCCCATGAGATCATGGGCACCAACCCCAAATGGCGGTTAAGTCTTTGAGTGTTTTTGTCTGAAATATTTTCTCCAGGTCTCAATTCAAATAAGATTAAAGCAAGAAAAAGCAGTGAGTCCTCCATCTGTGTGTAGCTCAAGTTCATTATTGTCAAGACTCTAAATAATGTAATGAATAGAAACCTGCGACTGTAACTAGTTCACGTCTAACTTTTCTTGCCACGTCTGGTCAGTTTTCTAACAGATGCTCCTGTGCAGAACTCCAGCACTCTTGGGCGGGCAAAATGGCAAGATGGCCTCTGTCCAGCCTCACTTCTGCCAGTTCAGAAGCCCAGGTCAAGTGCGTCGGTGGAAAAGGGCTGTTGGTGGAGGTTGTTTCCTGCAAATGAGGGTCACAAACCTAAGTGACTAGCGGAGCAGGGAGGTGAAACAACATCTGCAAAGTGTGCAGGGTAGAGGCAACAGGAGCTAAACTTCTGTGTCGCCACCAAACGTACCTTCTGCCCAGAGCAAAGCCTGCTTCTGGGCAGGGCTTCCCGACTTCTTAGATCATCTGTGGGTTGGCACAGGGGATCTCTGTAAACATGTGAAATTGAGGCCATTCCCTAGAGAGGCCCATTTGACAGGCTTGAGGTGGGGCCTGAGAGTTTGTATTTTTAATAAGGTGAATCAGGCAAGTTTGAGAAATATGGGTTTCACCTGCTGACTTGCAAACTAGACTGATTATCAGAAATTCAGATTCCGGGACAGTCTCCTGAGATGATTCTGATGCAGCCAGACTGGAGAGAAGAGCGCTGCTCCAGTCCTTTGGTTTTCAATCTCTTAAAAAATCAAAATGTCTGGCATGTGGTAACTGCTAAACAATAAACAACTGCTAATATAAACAATAATATTCGTTAAGCAATAACTCCTTCCTTCAGCGATATCTTCTGCAAAGTCAAGTAATAAAATCAATAATTAGACGGGCCCTTGTCCAAGTGGTGAGCCAGCTCAGAGGCCTGGTAGCATGGAATCTCTTTGCTCCCTGAAAGCTACCCCTAGATTCTTTGGTAAGACAACGTGAAAACCACTGATCAAGGCTATTCTTCCAAGAAAAAAAGAGAATAGTCTTAAAAGAAGCACCAACAAGGTGCTGGGAATTTTCTAGATGCTCAAGAGCAGAAATGAGACCGAGTCCTGGTGTTGATCTAAAAATGAGCCCTGACCAGGTGTGGCTCAGTTGGTTGGAGCATGGTCCTACAAACCAAAAGGACAAGGGTTTGATTCGCAGTCCGGGCACATGCCTGGGTTGAAGGTTTCATCCCTGGCTGGGGCGTGTTCAAGAGGCAAATGATTGATGTTTCTTTTCCTCCCTTCTTCTCCCTCTAAAATCAATAAGCATGTCCTTGGGTGAGGATAAATAAATAAATAAAGAAAATTTAAAAAATATCCTGAAGCATGAATATTCTTTCCAAAATAAAAATAAAGAGACCTCTGGCCATAAGAAGGGTAGTAACACCAGAAAGGGGAGAGGCCAAATGTATACTAACAGCTTGGAGTTTTAATCAGGCCTGGAACCTCCTAGCCCCCTATCACAGGGGAAGCTAACATCAGAACTTGAAGTTTAAAAAAAATATATATATGGCGGCACAGTAGGTTCCCTGTCTCACCAGCAAACCTTTTCAGAGAGTCTCAGGTAGCAGCAGACACTTTTACTTGGCAATAGAGTGTCCCCTGTCCCTGCAGCATCACAAAGCAATGTTTCTCCCAGTGTGGTCTTATACACCAAGTGGTTGAGTGACAACCATGGGGCGTGGGGCCAAGGGCGCTGCACTGCAAGGGCCCCTGGCCCCACCCAGGTGTCCTCAGTGCCCATACAGCTTGAGGTCTATGACCCTAAAGATACTAGAACAAAGATTTTGTTCTCTTAAATTTTAAAAATTACTTTCATGGCAGCGTATGCATGTCTTTGAAAAGAAAAAATAAACAGATCAGTGAAAAAAAAGTGGGGGAAGCACCTAAGAGACATCATATTGGTGGGGAAAGTTAGGCTGGACACTCTGCTTCAATTCTATAAATTAGTCTTACGGTCAAAACTCTGCTCCCGAATGTCCTCCCTATTATATCCGTTTTGACTCATCTTTCCTGCCATTGGATTACTGGCTTTTTCATCTTTCTGGGACTTACAGAGAAAGCAATCGCTGGATGAGGGAACCATTTCTTATTTCCCTGAGTAATAACTTAGACATAACCCCCAGTTCTCTATTCAAAGTGGAGGAAACATTGCTTTAGTCAATGTCAAAGCGTAGGTTCGGCTTGCACTGTGGGTTTTATGAATTTTTGTTGCTTGTCTCCCTGGAGAAACTCTCTAGGACAGTGGTTCTCAAAGTAGGGTTCTCAGACAGCAGAACCAGCATCGCCTATGAATTGGTAAGAAATGCAAATTCCTAGGCCCTGCCACACACATAATACCTCAGTAACTCTGGGGCTTGGGCCCAGCAATCTGTGTTTTAATAAGGTGATCCGATGCATGCTAGAGTTTGAGAACCCATGCTGCAGGGCAAACCAGCCAAACACAGTTGTGAGCAGCACTTGGAATAAATGCTATGAAGGCTTTTTGGCTAGAAAAGGAGGCTTCAAACAGGAGGCATCTGCGATGTCTCAAGTCACCACAGGTACCTCACAAGATCCCAAAATATCTCTCAGACTGGGAGAAATGTCTCTTTGCTTTGCTGTTGAGGAATGACACGTGCAGTGACACCTCCCCGGAGAATATATTTGGACCTTCCAGGCACTCCGCTGGGATGCAAATCCACACCTCCTCCCTGACACCCAGTCATCGGGAGCGGGGGATGGGGAGGCATGATGAAACCACGAGGCCAGGATCGTCGTCAGTAGAATCACCGAAAAGAGTAATGAGATTTGACTGATCTTTGAGTCTTGCCTGCTCTGACATTCTAGAATTCTACATGTGTCATGCTCGCCACAGAGTTGTGTGAAGAAACCCAAAAAGTTAATTGCTGGTGAACTTATAGTAGGGGAAATGAGCCGGAATTTATTAGGTACCTCTTAGGCATTTTACACATTTAAATCTTACAAGGACCCTCTGAAGGAGGCGCTAGACCTCTTTACAGAGAAGGGAGCTGAGGCTCTGAGAGGCTAAGTAGCTTAAACAAGTTCACACAGTAGATGTAGCCAAGGAAGAGTTTCAAGCCGTCTTCCTGGCTCCCAAACTCATGCTCTTCCCACTGTACCAAGATCTTCTGGGTCTGGAATTGGGGAAAGACATCAAGAGGGTGATGACCAGGAAGTGCGAAAAAAGTCAGTAAGGTAACCTGTAAAGCCTGTCCCTCCAGAATGTCACACAAAGTGAAGGCAAAGGTCATCCAGGCAATCCTACCAGCTTCTGTGTAAAAGTGTTAATGAAATCCATTTGTCCTCAGACAGAATGGGGGCCTTTCCAGCCTTGCTCTTGTACTCTTGTTTTGTATTTGTCTTAAAACAAAGGCCAGGCTAATTACAGCAGTAATGTTTTCATTTATTATACTCAATTACTGCCAGGCACTATGCTAAACACTTCTCATGCTTTGTCTCACTCATTGCCCACATCAACCCTGTGAAAGAGATATGATTATTCCCATCTTACAGCTGAGAAAATCTAAGTGTAGAGGAGTTCACTGATGTGTAGTAGGGCAGAGGTTTGAACCATGCAGTCTAATTCCTCACTCAAGTGTCTGCACTCGACTACATTCTAGGCTAAGTGTTCTTTGGGTCTGTCTGACCAGCATACTCACTAGCTCTTACGTGTTCTCTCTCTTTGCACCACACACACACACCCCCCTCCTTTTCTTACTCTTACCTTTCTCTCTTTCCCCCTTGCCTCCAAAGGTACTGGCATCTAACCTCCAGTTCGCTCTCCTCTGAGTCACGGAGAGCTGAGACAGCTCTACCCCAGCCCCAGCCCTGCCCTTTCTGGTGTCCCCAGAGCAAATCTGAAAGTTACCAGCCAGGCATTCACCTTCTCTCGTCCCAGAGAGACTTGCCCCATCCGCTCGAGTTGCTCTAAGTGCCTCAACTTCTTACACATCACCAGCTTCCTCCCAGAGGAACTTCAGTAATCTTGTCTATAACGCCCCTGTGGTTGGGCTGTTTTCTGGACCATTCAGCACTGGGCTCCTTTCTAAAGCCCTGAACTTTTCATGCAGGTTGCCCCGATTCCACTCCAACACTTCACATTGCATCTAAAAGGGTTTTCAGGATAGTGGGTACATCTGGCACCTGTCCCTGTCTGGATAACCAAAGCCTAAAAAAGAAGGCATTTGGCAAGCCTGGGCTCCTGCAGCTTTATGTGTCTGTGACATAGTGGCAGCAGAGTCACTGGGCAGCCTCAGGCAAGCAAAGCCCTTCTTGGAAAGAAGCCAGGCAGGAGGGAAAGCTGCCTGGGGAGGAGGAAGAGAAGTACTCAGGCAAGGAAGGCTGGGCCTGCGGGAGCCGGAGCCACAACCGCACGCACAGAATCAGGAGTGAATATGAGTACACTGAAAATCACCGTCAGGGTGCAGACTGTAGGGAGCATGTGGCACTAAGATAAGCAAATGGCTAGTCCAATAGCTCTGAATACAAACACGTACATGCTCATGCACATAGGCCACACGCTAACCGTGCCTTGCAGCCCCCCTTGGATGCCAGCATACTCATTCCCAAACTCTGGAGGACAACCACCTCTTGCAGAAGGGACCCAGCCTCTGTTGCTCAGTCCATATGGTGTACTGTGGGTCTTACCACTGGGCTTGCTAAGGCCACTGCCCCCAAACCCCCTTTCTCTGCTGAAAGCAACCCATCTTCCCATCTCTCACTCCACTGCATAGCAATCGGCCTGGCCTGTACTTCAGGCAGTGATCCTGGGAGATGTCAATTGTCCCCTCTGACACTTGGAATGATCTTCCTGAACTTCAGTCCTCAGTTGCCCCTCCATGGAGAGAGCATCCAGGCCCTGGGGCCTCTAGAAGACCTCTGGACACTCCTAAGCATCTGCTTTCCTATGGCCAACTATCCTTACCTACTGCATGGCTTACCTGTGGCAGGTCAGCCACAGCACCCTTGGAGCAGTATCCTCCTTTAGTTCCTTTAAAGCCCCATTCTTCTGCCCTGTGGGTGAGACCCCTAGGTATCTGCCTTGTTTATTTTTTCTAGGAACATTAACCCGTCCTGGAGTCCACCTGTCCACTGCCCTATCTCATGCCCTTCAACCTCTCTCTTCCCTTTGGGGCATCTAACACACAGGACTGGCCAGGCGCTGTAGACCTCTACCTGCTCTGTCTATCAGGGACACAGAGCAGGTATCCCTCCACACTCACTGTCAGCACCTCCTGGGTGCAAAGTTCATCTGTATAGTCTTTGGAAAGGGGGCAAAGGTGAGCAAAACATGTCCTCAGTAATTGAAAGAGAGAAAAGCACCCTGGGGATCCACACCTCCCACACACCTCCCAGGCTCTTCATCCTCTTACACTTCTGTGCTAGGGGGCCTCATGAGGCCCCTCCATTTACACAAATCCCTAGTTGGTTCAGGGGCTACAGCCTTTCGTCGCACGCAGCCCCGACTCATCCTCCTCCTCTTCAGCCTCACCAGTCACATCATGACTCAACAGTGTGCTCAGAGTACAGGTGAAGGCAGCAGCCTTCTGGCCAAAGTGTGGCAAGGCAGACTAGTTAAGGCATTGCGTTTTAGCATTGGAGAAGCTGGGTTTGAGTCCTGGCTCTGCTGTTGACTAGCCAGCCATTTGGTGTAACCATGGAATCATGGGCAAGATTCAATTTTGTCTTGAAAATGGGCGAATTAATAACATTTCATGGAACTGTAGGAGAAGTGACTGGCAATGTGTGGTAAAGCACTTGAGCTCTGCCTAGCACACAGAAGACTATCAATAAGCCGTAGCTATCTTTACTAGGACAGCTACTGAGGACAATCATCATAATTTTGATCTAAAATGAAAAGTATCAACTGTGATATTCCGTGGTGATTCAGAGGCAAGTGCCCATGAATTCAGTGGTTGGGCCTAAAGGCCTGGATAAATGAGTTTTTAAGGAATGGCAAACTGATGGGCATCCCTGTGAGGGGACAGGAAATGCCAGCTCTCTGCCTGACACAAGGCAGGGTGTGAAGATTAGGAACGCAATCATTCCTTTATAAGTTGCTTGGTAGAATGGTCCTCTTAGAAATCTATTTCACCCATCATCTGAATGTCCCTTAAAATCTCACTGTCTACCGACCACAGGAAAGTTGACCTCATTCTCACTCTCAGCAGGACCATTTAAGTCACTGCCCTGAGTATCCTATTGGTTGGGCCACTGACGATGGCCAGTGACAATGAGCTTGAGAGAGCAGAGTCAACGTGGAAGCCCTGCTCCGACTAGCCTGCACCTCCCTGGGCTCCCTGACTGCTCCCTGGGTGCGAGCAGTCAGCTGCATGGGCACGCGCCTACTTCTGGGCTCAGGGGCACGGTAAGCACTGTGATCACAGGTCCCAAAGTCTCTGGCAGTGTCCCATTCACGTCATTTCTCCTGATAGTTGCTTGTTAAATATGTGCAGAAATGTGTACTTTGATTTTTATGCCTCTTAAGATTTCCCAATCAAGTGAATTCACAAATGTAAAAGAAGAAATCATCTGTCACACTCTCTGTGAAAATACATATCTGGAAGGTATAGTCATCGAGCTCCCAGATAATAGTTTAATAAATGGCTGAGGTGCTATTTATTGCTCACACTGAGTGACAAAATTGCACCAGGTGGCTTTATCTATGAGCCCCACTGCTAGTGAGTCAGAAACACTGCCCCACCTCCCACTGTCTTTCAGTCCCTATCATTTGTTCAGAAAGAGTGCAGGGTGGGAGGCAGCTGTGTAACCATGTTAGCTTCCTCTCTGTTTATTCTTTGGTTTGCTGAGCTTCCTGCTGTGTCCTGGGGTGGACATTCCCTTGGAGGAGGATACACCTTTCAATAGAATATCATAACCGGGAGGCTAACAGCACCCCTGGGTGCTGTTACAGCTCATAACCACTGCCCCCTCCCCAACACACACACACAAACACACACATATGAACTCACTGGCCCAGAAAAGAACATCATGAACAGGTTTCACAAAGAGATAGGCAAAGGGAGGGGAAGGGGAGAACAATCCCCAAAGGAACAGGGCTGTTTACCTTCCCATAAATCCACTGTCTGAAAAATGTCAGTGGTCCTGACACCATAGGTCTCCGCAGCCTTCAGGAACTGGGAGATTTGCTCCATCTGCTTAAAAGCCATCTTGGACTCTGAGATCTTGGCAATGGGCTCTTGTCCAGGGGGGTATAAACTGTTTATCAGCTTGCACAGGACCTGAAGGGAGAAAAGGAGGAACACCATCAATTTTCCCTTCACATTTACCCGTCACTAATGCGAAGTGAATTCTAACCCCCACAAGACACAGCTGCCAGGTTTGGGCACAAGCAAGTCTTGGGCCCAGGAAGCCACGGGCTCTGGGCTGGGCGACCAGGCTCCCACACCAAAGCCCAAAGACACAGGCAATCTTATTCCTGGGGCCGCTGCTGACAGGGTGTCCAGGAGCCCAGGAATCCCCTTCCACCCTTGCTCCTCCCTTCCTTTTCCTGGGCGAGGGTAAGAATGTTTACAGACAGGGAACGATGTGGGGGGACGGGGCCATGATTCCAGACTTCAGCGCAGGGATGAGCTAGTGGTAGCACCCAGGGTGGTCAGAGGGTACAGTCTCATACTGTTTCCTCTATCAAAAGGCAGATCTGAGTCAGGCTGCAGTAACTCATCCCATATGTGTGAACGATGTGTGTGCACCAACTGCACTGGGCACTGTCCTCCCAGACACCTATAACCCAAGGGCTGGGCACCCCAGCAGAAGCGTGGGAAAGCAGTTATGTAACTAACAACAGTTCATCGCTCCCTGAAGGAAAAAGATGGGCTTGTTTGAATCAGCAGAGCCTGTGCTCCCCGATTCCCAAGCACACAGGAGCTTCTGCCGAGAAAAGCAGTTATCAAACAAGGATTCCCTTCAGTTTCTGGAGAACGCGTCCATTCAACAGACAGACACAGAGCACCCCAGGGAGCATGGCTCTGGGAAGGGAAGTGGTTAGTCCCGGCCCCCCTTGCTTTGTTTTACTGTGTAACCAACCCATTCCCTTGAGAAAAGAATGGCCCCAGATGAGCTGATGCACCAAAAAGCCTGAAGAGATCTCAAGGAAATGCTTATCTCGATTCTCACTGGAAAGAGCAAAAGGGCTTAGGATCTGCCAACGACTCAGAAGGAAGCTGCGGTGCTGGATGGGTGGAGAATCCTCTGAGCTAGCTAGGGAATTGTGCAGGGAGCTCTGATCTTCCAACCCCGGAGAACAGAGGCTTTCCCTTTCCCTCCCCAGGGGACACACAGCGGGCAGCAGCAGCTCCTCTGGCAGCCTCACCTGAAAGGAGAAGGCCCTGGAGGGTTTCCCTGCCCACCGATTTCGCAGTCCTTACCGTCCCGTCCATTAACCATTGCTGAAAATGGGCCCGGCCGGGCGGCGGGTGCTCTATGTCCTCAGCGCACTGCAGGATGATCCAGTCCACCAGCTTGTTCTCCAGGTCAGCGTCATACTTCTGCTCAATCTTCTCCTGCACCTCTCGGCTTAAGCCATAGCTTGGGCCCCGGTTAGCCATCTCTGCAAGAGAAGAGAGGACACGCGCGGCATCCACACAATAGCAGCCAGGGCTCCCTGCGCGCGGGGCTGGGATGTGGCTGGGCCGCCTGGCCCAGCAGCAGCAAAGCGGGCAGAAAGCCGGGCGTGGTTTAAATCAAGGAGCCAATGAAGCCACTGGGGTTTCACCTACAAACAGAAAAGAAAAGCGCAGCCACGCACCAGTGACTCTAGAATAAAGCCCCTGCGGGTTTGGGGGGTGAGGGTGGGGAGTGTTTGGAATCTGCCTCTCGGTCCCGCCTATCAGCCAGATGAGATGATGCACAAGGACTCACAATCACAAAGGAGGATTCACCCCGGGGAAGTAAGGGGGCTGAGTGGTCGTTTCTTACCCCCTCTAGTAGCACTTTGCAAAGGCAGGAACCCTGAGATGCAAAAGAGCCGATAATTAACAGGCAGAGGGGAAGGCTGCCTTGACGTGCAGCCGCTGCTGCTGCATGGCGTTTGAAAGAATGGTGCACTGATTCGATTTTCTCCTAGCTCAGGAGGGTCACACCAGGGTCGTTGCTAAGAGCCCTCCAAAAAGCCAGCCCTCTCAAGTGTCAGTCAAGCCCGCCGCCTCCCTCCCGCTGAGAGCTTCTTTCTCAGCTGCACAATTCTCTCCCCTCCTCTGGGGGAGGCTGCCCGCGGTATCCGAGGCCAGCGCACACTGCACAGGGCTTGGGGCCTGGGAGAGGGTCCATTCAGTCAGCTGTCCATCTGTCAGGAGTTGCCAAGCCACTTCCCCCCTGCCCTGAGGGAACAGCTGTCTGGCAGGACAGGACAGGAGGGACTGAGAGCTGCAACCATTAACTTATTCTGCTGCCAGCCAGATTTCATCTGGAAACTTCCATCCTGGTGGGAAACTCATGCCTCAGTTTGACTTATTCAAGGAATGTAGCTTTTTAATGCTGTTTTTAATAGAGAGGCAGTGAAAGTATGTTTCATAAATTAAAAAGAGCTCAATATGCTAAGAACTCTTGGAATAAAAGATTTGGATACAGTGTAAAGGTTTTGTTTATTTTAATTAAGGAACGGTAAAGGACAACTGATATACTGTCAATGGTAACTGAGTATTTGATATTAGCAAACAAGACCTCAGGAGAAATCAGATTTATGTTGACCTGAAGTTTTTATAACACAGGGTTTGGCTGTTTGTCTTCTGAGACTGAGGGTGAGGACTGAGTCTTACTGGTTTTGTCTGTCTCTGGGTACTTACCGTGAAACACTAAAAACCTGTTTGTTCTCTGGTTCATTCAGCAAACAGTTTTTGAGCACTTAACTGTGTGTCAAGGACTGTGCTCCAAAGGAACAAAGTATGATTCTTGCCTCTGAAACAATTTATCAATTGTTTCAAAAAGGCAATTCTAGAACATGGCATGGTGATCTTTGTTTCTGTGGGAAATTGATTAGGAACTATGCAGGAAATGACTCCTCAAATAATACAAGTATTAAGAAAAATCTACTGCCATCTGGAGCCTGGACTAGTGAAAATATAATTACTTAGTACACATGTGGGCGGTGTGTCTGAGAAAAGACTTAGTGGTCAATAGTGGAAGGCCTAGGAGAGGGGACTCTCAAGAATAAAGGGTTGTGGGAAAATCAGGAGCCTTCAAGAGAACAGCCAGCTTAGAAAACAGCACAAGAAGGGCTGACTCATGCATGTCTGGATGCTGCATGGAACCCTCAGCTGAAGAAGCTCTACAGACAACAGAGCTGTCTCGAGAGACTTGGAGCTTAGAGAAAGGGCAGGAAAATTGTCAGCAGAATCTTAAAAGTCACTGAGTTGCATCATGGGTGGCAGCGACAAGGTCAATTCCAACCTGAGACCAAGGAGAGGGAGGCCCAGACAGAAGGTATGTCACTTTCTCTGTGGCTGGAATTGCTCTAAGGAAGACATTGGCTTCTTAATAAAGATAGGAACAATTTTAAAATATATACATTTGCCCTCTCCTTATATATTTTTTCACACTCTGCTTTGCAGATCTCTTGTACCCAAAAATTTATCCCCACTGTAACAAAATAACTGGGCAATTTAAGTGAGTGCTTGAGCTCAAAGTTCTGGAAGGAGTACAGTGGCAAAGAGCAGGGCAGTCTTTGCCATTAAGGAATAGGTTAGACGTGTTCACAAATCCACAAAAAGTCTTTAAAGAACAAAGCGTAACCCATCCCCTGGAGGAGTGACCATGGAAATTGGCTCAGCCCTGTATTTACTGAGTGCCTACTAGTATTATCACAGTTCAGCAATGTTTTTAAGGGCCTACATAACTGAGTGTTGTTTTTTATTTTTAATGAATAAGACATGGCAACATGGTTTAGTAACAAAGTTAAACTTGTAAACAATAAATGTCAGGCTGGTATCATGCTAAAACCATGCACCAGGTACAAAGGTACAACTATACCTAGAGGAAGGGGGTAGGGGCTAGGAAGAGGTCTACAAATAAGATGACTTTAAGTCTTAAAAGATGAGCACGTTCACCATGTTAGTGGACCAAGGTATTTGCCAGGTGGACGGGTGAGGTAAGGGGGATAGGAAATGTTTGTGGCAAAGGCAGCTTGTTTAGGGTGAAAGTGTTCTAATATCAGCAAGGTGTAGGGTTACAGAGGAGAGACACACAGTAAGAAAAATTAGGCCAGAATGTCAGTCAGCCTCCAAATCACAAAGTGGTGTGGTCGCAAGTGCCCATGGTTAAATTGTCAGCAATTTTGAGAGCCAGTTGTTAAATTCAGCCATTATAAGGAATTAAATTGTGTAAACTTATACTTAAATAAATTATATTACAAACCAAAATCAGAAACTCAAAACAGATCACTTTCTAATGTATTTTGCTACATTTTAATATTACCTATGGTTTTTGAGGATATTTATGTTTATTGTCTGTATATAGTTGTTGAAGAAAGAATGTCCAGCCTAAGAAAAAGTCTTATAAGAGTTAATTAAACCCAACTGACAAAAATTACCAGGAGGCAAAATCTCAGCGGACTGAGAAAGTGGTCTGGAGAACAGCAGTTTTGCAGCTTGTTTGGTACATTATAATCAAAGGAGAAAACAGGGAGGGCTCCACGAAACCCACTGGTGGTAGATTAGGAAGGTGGGAGAAAGCAAAGCAGGGAAATCTGGGTCTGGAAAAGAGTGTAACTCTGATATTTCAAAGGCATGTCATCCTAGATGCACAAAGACAATAGACAATTTCAAAGGTCAAGATTGACTTTCGTCAAGGAAGCTACAGGCGTAGGACATGTCTATCCCCCAAGCCCCACTTTCAGTTAGGAATTTTTATGTTCAGACCACTCTGTCTCTGAGTTTGTGAGGCCCATCACACAGGCTTCCCGAGCTTGTTAGGTTTAGTCCACATAATGTATATCCTGTGTAATGACATGCTACTGGCCACTTCTTCCCAGCCTCCTCATATTCAGTGACGTCCCAGTGGTAGCTTGAAGAGTATTTATGCCTTGGATGTTGGTTGGTAAACTTGGTGAATCAGGGTTTCCTCCCTCCCTGGAAATCTAGACTTATGTATCATGGAAAAGATTATTTTTTTCCATAGGGAAAGAGAACCATGAGTTCTGATTTGGGTGAAGGAAAGGAAGAAGGTCAGATGAGTCATAGTGTGACCTGTATACAGGGGTAATGGTGGTACCATTTATTGTAAAGGGACTCATGGTGAAGGAGGTGCATTAAGGGGGAAGGATAGCAAAGCTTGTCCTGACTGCATTTGGGAGGCCCAGGATTCATCCCATTTGTTAGGCAGTGATTTTATGTACTTGGGACTCCAGAGAAAAGTCTGGGATGCAGGAATGTACTTGAATCATCTGCATGCATGTAGCTCTTAAAACCCAGAACATGGGTGTGTTCACTTGACATGCGTAAGTAAGTACCATGGTCAGAACGGAAAGGAAATATTGACATTACATGGTGGGTAGGGAGGAAAAGCCAGCAAAAGGGGTCGATGTAGCATGGTCAGAGGCACCCGGGGGTAAACGACATCAAAGCCTCTGCAGAAGGAGGCTGGCATATGACCTGAGCATCTTGAAGTAGTAAGTTCTATCAAAAAGTTATGAACAGAATGCTTGCTTTTTATGAGAGAGCACAGAGGACCCACCAATGAACTTTTTTGAAAAGAGAGAGGAGGAGGAAGTCAGGAAAGACTTCACTGAGCAGCTGATATTTGAGCTTCTTTTCAGTAAAAGAAAGTGTATCTGTCAGCAGCACCCTGGAAGCCCAAGAAAAGAAAGAGCCCAATTGAGAGTCATTTCCACTGTGGACACATTTGGTTAAAAAACACTGCCTGCCTTTTTCTAGGTATATTCTCTAAACATAGCCAATGATCACAGGTTTTCATCAAACAGAGTTATAAACACGATTATGTTCTAAACTAAGAAGTTACTGTAGATTTGTATTTCAAGGGGATGTAAAAACTGTTTATCCAAATTCCATCTACCTTCCTCCAGAAAATAAAAATTATTTAGTTTTTTCTTCTGTAAGCAGTCCCAAATTTAATGGGTATTTGACATGTTCCTTTTTGGCACTACCCTGGAAATGGTTATGTGGTGGGTAATGTTCTCTATCTCCACCCTTCACAAAACTCAGCCTTACATCTAAAGCCTTTTTCCTCCTCTCCTCCACACAGGCCTTTCCATTGGCTCCTCGGACAACAGCACACTGTTTAGATTTGTCTGCAAATGCCTCTGAGCCCAGCAGATACAGCAAAAGCAAGTACAGTATATTATGTGGCCTTCCTTAGCCTTTTTCCCACTGGCACTTGCCTGATCCATTTCCACTGCACATGTGGAGACTGTTTAGAGGGGTCACGTCACTTTTAAACAAGTTCCACAGGGTAAGGCACTCAGAGGCTGCTGGCTGTTCCACATTCTCCATGTCACTGAACATAGGGGACTGAGTGGTTTTAGAAAAACAAACAAAAATCTTTGGGGAAAAATGAACACTGCAGTAATTAATAATGTACTAGAACACACTAAATCTCACTGATTCAAATTCATGAGGAATTTGTGATGCTACCTTCTACAAAGCTAAATTTTAAAACAACTTTTTCTATCTTTAGAGTGAAGATTTTCCCCTCCTCCCCTTCTCTCAGAGCATTCGAAAGGATACCACACAACACTCTGATTTGAGGTCATGAGTTAAGAAGGTCCAATCCAGGTCAGCTTTAGAAGCCCAATGTACTTTGCCTTCACTTTTCTTTCTAAACCCCGATGGCCTGTGTTTATCAGTTTCACACTGGACTGTGCTCTGCACATAGTAAAAGTGAAAAGGCAGTAACTCCTATGTGTCATTGTGTTGTGCTTAGTTAATTCTTATGATTTATTAGACGGGTTTATGTTGCTATTTTACAGATGAGGGAACCTCAGGAAGGGTAAGTATATTGCTGTCACAGGGCTAGTAAGTGGTGAGCCAGGCCTTAAGCATAAGCTCTATAGTCTGTCCTTAACCGTTATGCTATACTCCCTCTGCAGATATACTAGGAATGTGAGTTCATATTGATTACACTTTATTACAGCTATATTTAACCCTAGAAAACACTCGTGGGCAAGCACCCTTCCCCTTTAATCATTGTAATCCTCATGCCTAGCAGTGGCTGGGAAGAGAAGACCCTGGAATAGCTTCTCTGTCATCCACCATCAATTCCCTGCAGTACCAAGGACTGTGGCACACACACAGTTCATGTATTTTTATTTGTAAGTAATTTGTTTGGTATAAAGGAGATCATAGAGTATAGTTTTATTGCCTTGTGGGCATTAACCTGTTTTGTATGTGTCAGGCATCCCCAAGACCACCCTCAGGCTTGATCTGTCAGCACTCACAGAATGCACTGTCCTACTCATAGCTGTAATTTACTACAGTGAAAGGATACAAGCCAAGTCCACACAGGGAAAAAGAACTGGGGTGAAATCTGGAAAAAACAGGCAAAAGTTCTGAAGAATTCTCTCCCAGTGGAGTCACACAGGATGAGCTTAATCCCAGCAGTGTTGAGACAGCGCATGGGAAATGCTGTCTGCCCGGGAAACTTGTTCAGACTCGGTGCCAGAGTTTTCCTTGGGAGCTGGTCACTCAGGCAGCCTCTGCCAGGCACCTACCAAAATTCCAGACTCCCAGAAAGCAGGTGTTCAGCATAAACCACATTGTTTGTACAGACAATTTGCACAGTGAGCCGCTTTTATCAATGGTGGGAACCCTCCTAAAATTCAAGTTCCCCAATGCCAGCCAAGGGCCAATCTTGTAAGCAGGTCTCCAAGGATAAGTGGTCAGGCTCGGTTAACTCTTTGGCACAAGAGGTTTTTTCCCAACATTATTTCTCAGTGTTGTCAAGTGAAGTGTTACTTTGACAGACACAACCCAAGCAAGCTAAATAAAGTGCAACCAAACTTAAAAGCTAAAAAACACCAACTCAATAATACCAAGATTGACTATTGCAGTTATTTTAAAAAGAAAAACCTTTATATTTATATTTCCTATTTTCTTACTATATTCGCACTTCTGAAAACTCTAATTTAGATGGCTACCATTTGGCTATTTAAACTTAAGGCACATATTAATAAAAGAGAAATGTTTCTGCAGGTAGGCAAGTAATATATAAAGATTAATTCCCTCTTTAGAACATGAAACTACATCATTAAGATGAAATTCCCCCATTTAAATACATATAAGCCAAAATTTAGAATATATTCCCTTTATAGCACTGTAATTTTGAGCCTTTATAAAAATAACCTTAGATTTAAGCTCAAAGAGAATATGAAGAATATATAAAGTACTATCTTTATTTTTCAAACTTTATTATGCTTCAGACATTTCCTTAATCACTTCAGATTTATTTTCCCATATTTTGTGAACTGCATTTTACAATCAGAATTTTACAAATTTCTACATATAATGATACCAAACAAAATACAAAAATTTTAAGCTTTATTAATAGTTCTAAAAAGAACACAATTAAAAGCTGGCAGTTAACTAAAGCACTAGAAGTTAAACATCTCTTGAATAAAAAAAATAGGAAACATATTAATGAAAAAAAGGAATCAGGGACTGAAGGAAGAGGAGGACGTTCCAATTCTTCAGCAGCTGGTACAGCCGACCTTCTGTAGCTACGAGTTCCCTATTCTTGGATTCAACTAACCACAGGTCACAAATGCTTAAAGGAAAAAAGAAAAAAAGGACTCCAAAATGTTGACCCTTAAACAATACTGCATAACAACTATTTACATAGCATTTACATTATTTTAGGTATTATAAATAATCCAGAGGTGATTTAAAGCATACAGGAGTATGTGTGTAGGTTATATGCACATACTATGCCATTTTCTATAACAGATGTGAGCATCTTCAAATCCTGGTATCCAAGAGCTGGGGGTGTCCTGGAACCAATCCCTGGAACATACAAGATAACTGTATTTTCTTCACAATTTGTATCACTTATGTGCAAAGACATCATTAAATAAAACCTCATGTGATATTTCCAAAATAGTGGTAAGTGGAAAAAACCTTCTAAGTGTCAGGGTCTTTCACGTGCTATCTCTCCCTCAATCTCTGGGTCCACTGGTTACATACAACTAATGATGGGATTCTAGTTAACTACAGTTGAAAGCTTGTCGATTAAGTCATCAATACTGTAAACAAGAAGTTGAATGTCTGCTTTTTCCTTCATGCGGTGATCACTGTGTTTTCGAAGAATGACGTCTACATCTGTGCTGACTACTCGGTCAGCAACCTGAATGGACGTATGCCACGGAACCACGTCGTCCTCCATGCCGTGCAGCAACCTCAGAGGACAGTTCACAGGAATGGGGCTATGTAAAAGGCAGTGGTGTTCAGCTTCTTTAATGAAGCTGTACTGCATATGGTAAACCCCCTCTTTATTGTATTTTGATGGCATGCTCCAGACACCTTTCATCTCTATTTCCTTTTTTACCTATTGGGAAAAAGTAGGAAAATAAAAGTATTTATTAAACATTAATACATGCAATAATATTAAACAATCTAAGAATTTAAAGAGTAAAATAAATACAATAAATATACATATATATTTAGGCATTTTAATGTATTTCTAATTCCAAAAAGATTTGATTCAGTGAAACTGAATGGCTGAAATCAACTGATTTCAGTAAAAAATCCATACATCTGAAAGTATACTTTGAAATATCTGTCTCAAATGATTTGAAATTAATGAAATTTAAAAAACTATAAAATGTATGAATCTATATTTAAAGCAAAAATGATACTAGGGTATCTTCAAAGTACTTGATTACTCCTGAACTCTTAATTTCAGTAATTAGAATTTTGTTTCAGTGGTTATTTGATCAAGTAGAAATTATGCTAAGTATTGAGACACAACAACAGTTGAGTTTTAAGTATCCTTGCCCAAATAGCTATTACCTGCCCCTGAATTAATATTGTTCATATGAAGAACAAACTTTACAGAATCTTTAAAAAAAGGGGGGGCTCAGAAATAGCAAAGACAGGATTAATCAAAGAAAATGTACAATAGGCATAAATTCTACTCCAAGGAGAAACTGTGTCACAGTAATGTGGTTGAGAAGCTTGGATTCCAAACAGCTGTACCGCCGTCTGACGCCCTCTGGTGTCCAATAAAGGAGACAATGATTACAGCCAGTTAAGAGGCACATTGAGCTCCTACACAATGAGAAGTGCTGGTATTAACAAAACATCCCTTCTTCTGCTTCCTGGACACTGTTAGGCTAGCTGTTTGGGTGGAGAAGAAAAGACAGTGGTCCCTGTGTCCCTGCTCTTCCCTTACACATGCTTTTAAGTTAACAAGGCCCCACATGTTTCTGTTAACTGTTTCCTGGTCTAATTTAGGATTGGCCAAGATATGCTCTGATTTTCAGAGTATAAATCTTCTCAATCACTCAGGGAGTATCTACTATATCCCCTCTTTGAGCATGGTGAACACATGCTGGTAAATAGAAATGTACTGCAGATCTCATTTGTCAATAACCAAAGGAGAAAAAAAAAAAAAACCCTGTTAAATCAAATCCTTTACAATCTGCCATATTCTTGAAATAATTTCTTACCATGAGAAGCACTATATTAGTAAGTTACAGCAGGGGTCCCCAACCTCCAGGCTGTGGACCTGTACGTGTCCATGGCCTGTTAGGAACCACGCCACATGGCCGGAGGTGAGCTTGAATGTATGCGCTTGAATCCCCCCACCCAGCCCCCATCCCGTCCCTGGAAAAATTATCTTCCACAAAACCAGTCCCTGGTGCCAAAAACGTTGGGGACCACTGAGTTAAAGGATGGAGTGAAGAGGTCCAAGGTTTATATACAGAAAGGTACAATGGTAGGAAAATTTAGCAGCATCAGGGTACTGAGCAACTATGAGGAACCACCAAGAAAGTGGCGGGGAGGGGGGGAGAAGGTAAGTGCAAGGAAAACCAGCCTCACAATTTCATCCCTGATAGGAAATCTTAACGACCCTGGATATGCAGACAATGGTGCCATTTCTCAAGGAGCTAGGAAGAACAATGTAAGCTAAGAATTAACATACAGCAGATAATATGTGGCACTGGATTTAAAGCAGAACTTGAGACAAAGGTAAATGACATTCTATGACAACACTTTTTTTTCCTTTTTCTTCTTTTTTACTTTTCTCTTCCTGCTCCTTTACTCTCTAGGGGAGTGGTTCTCAAACTTCACCAGAGGGACTTATTAAAGGCCCCTCCCAGTCTCTGATTTAGATCTTGTGTGAAGCTCAAGAATAGGCCTTTTGATTTTTACTGAATTAAATTTAATGTGGTGATACTGATTAATACTCTATATAAGTTTCAAGTATACAATTCTGTAATACATCACCTGTATATTGCACTGTATGCTCACTACTCAAAGTCTAGCCTCCTTCTGTCACCATATATTTGTTGCCCTTTACTCTCTTCATCCTCCCTCCCCCTGTTCTTTTGGTAACCATTACACTGTTGTCTGTGCCTGAGCTTGTTAACTTTGTTGCTTTCTGTTTTCTATGTATACCCCACATATGAGTGAAATCACACGGCACCCCTATATTCACTGTTCATTGCAGCATTATTCACAGCAGCCAAGACATGGAAACAACCTAAGTGTCCTTCAAGGGAAGACTGGATAAAGATGTGGTACATATATGCAATGGAACACTACTCAGCCATAAGAAAAGATAAAATACTGCCATTTGCAACATGAATGAACTTTCAGAATATCATGCTAAGTGAAATATTAATAAATTCAAATGAAAAAGGACAAGAACCATTAACAAGCTGTTGATACTGCTGCTGTAGGCCTGAGCACCATGCTTTGTTAAGTCCCTGCTCTACACTGCTTTCCTTTCCTTACTTTTCTCCACCACAGGCCTGCCAGGATCTTAGTCCCACAGTTAAAACTGAGATCCCTAAGAAAAGATGCCCAAGGAAGACACAATGATTGTAATAAATAAATAAATGCACACAAAAATAAACAACTATTACTCACTACTTCTTCATCCTTGCAGGCAACTGAACTGCTTAAACATATTATCCAATAAGAAAGTATAATAAATTACCTTCCCAGTTATTTCAGAAACCTCATTTCTACCATAATTTGCTGAAGACCATGCTAATAATATAAAGCACTTTTTTAAAGGTGAGAATTTGAAGTAAAAAAAGAATGTCAACTAAGTGTCTAAGCCAGAAATGGCACGTCTCAGCTCCTGTGAGCTGATCCTGATGGACTGACAGTGCACACTTGGAGAGCTCTGCTGAGAGGATCAGAGGCTAAAAACAGTTTCAAAATTGATGAGTCAAGTTTAATACGGTCATAAGAAAAGGTGCTATTTCCCACATGCCATAAAATAAGAAGAGGTATAAGAAGAGATCATGATGTATGATCCAAATAAGTAAATATGATTAATAAAGCAAATGTTGCTTAAAAAAGAAAAGAAAAAGAAACAAAGTGTTATTTCATTAATATGGCTCAAATATTTGCCAGAATGAGTTGAAGGGACTGAAGAAAATGAAATCTTAAACAAGAGAATAGTAAAGAAAGCAAAGAAATCTTATATAAAAAAGCAGCTAAGACAAAAGATGGGTCAATATAAGTCAAAGGAAAGATGGCACATGAGCAAATACTCAAAGAAAGAGGAAGCAAGACAATGTAGGAGGTATACACCGAGGTTGTCTGTGACTTACCTCAACAGGAAGCTGATTAAACTTTGTCACCAGGCCATCCACAGCTGCGGCCACACCAATAAGAGCCACAACCTTTTGTGGCCGTGCGATTGCAGCATGAAGCATAAGCCACCCACCAAGGCTAGATCCAACTAGTATCTAAAAATAAAAAACATGTATAGTTTTAAGGAGGAATTTCTTTTTTTCCCCCATAAGTGGAGTAATTTCATAGAATATATGTACTTTTTTTCTTTTATACCCTTTGGCTCCCAGATTTTAATATTTGGCACAAAGTAGAATTAAAATTATGTTTACTTCTTATTAAAGTATTCAGTCTACAATAAAGAATTATAAAATTAAAATAAAATCTGTAAAATGAGTAAAATGATACTTCCATTTTATGAGAAAGTAAAAATGATAGAAAATTTTAAATCAAATATCAAAATTTGTTAAACATTTAAATCAATTTTCATATCTAAAGAGCAAAAATATCATGAGGTTATCAACAATTACATCATACTTAACAAAAACAGTCACCTGTGGTCCTTCAGCTAATTCATCAATTATAGAAAGAACATCTTTTCTCCATCTTCCCACTGTACATTCTTGTAAGTTACCATCTGAATTCCCAACTCCTGAGTAATCAAACCTGAAAAATGGGAAAATACAAATCTATATCTAGATATCTATGTATTTGCTTCTCTGATTTTTAAGGAATATAGCACATACATCATTATACAATAATATATATTTCGGCAAATCCTATTGGTATAACCGTCAAATACCTCCCAGGGCCACCCAATTTCTGATCTCCACTGAGAGCAGCCTGGTCCATGTCACTATCCTCTCTTGACCAGACTGAGATTCTCCCTTTCCAATTTTCACTCTCACAGGTTATTCCCCACATTGTAGTCAGTGATCCTCTGAAGGCAAAAATCATGTCTTACACAAACCATCCAAAGGCTTTCCATAATCTTTAAATAAATAAAATCTAGAGTTCTTAACACAGTCTGGCCCCTCTCCTTCCTCACTGCTCTCACTCCCTCCCAACCACATTCTCACTTTCCTTCTTGAGTTCATGGAAAACACCACTCATGTTCCTGCACGGGATTTTTACATCAGCCTTTCTCTCCACATGGAATACTCTACCTCCAGATATCTACTCAGACCGTTCCCTCGCTTGATTAAGGTCTTTGTTCCATCCTTAGAGAAGTCTTCTCTGACCATACAATCTAAAATTGTGCTTCTTTCATCATTCTCCATTTCCTTACCCTGCTTTATTTCCTTCACAGAAAATAGTGCTAGTAGACATTATATATGACATTTGTTTGTTTATTTGTGATGTCTCCCACACAAGCATGGAAGCTCCATATGAGCACAGGCTCTGTTTTGCTCACCACTGCTTTCCCAGCGCTTAGATCAGCACCTCGCACTGGTAAATGCTTAGTACGTATCTACTGAATTAGTGGGTGGGAAAGAGATCAGATTCAAATTCATCATCACCAGTCCATCTACTTAGTTTGCTTCTCCTTCCAACTTCCTAGTTCTCCAGGCTCAAAGTGTGCCTGATCTGTGAATTCCATCTCTCCTCAAGGTCTCAAGTCAATACATCATGAAGTATCGATGCCACTCCAGTAGATTCCCATAAACCATAGTCATACTGAACTACTCCCAATTCCTAAATGCACCCATTCATAACTTTGAGCCTTTGCATGATGCCCCACTGCCTAGAAGACCTTCCTTTCCACCCAAATTCCTAGTCATATCACCTCCTTGGAGGAACTTTCTTTGACATAATGCCATATATTCCGTTTAGTACCAGTCACTTCCTTTTGTGTGTACTCAATTAACACTTTTCATATTGGGTGTTGTAATCAAGTTTTAAATATCTGTCTCTCCCTGACTGGAACGTCCGTTTGAGGGGCAGACTGTTTTACTCAAGCTTGTTTTTCCAGCATATAGAACACTGCCGGCCCTGGGCCATTCTCACTCACTCACATTTTCTCCTCACAGTCATTCCTTTCTCTGCCAGTTGGTAAACCAGTATCTTGGTGCAGGTCTCTGTCATCTTATCTTAAACCAGCCTATCACAGCAGCCTCCTAACTGTGCCTCTATGACTCTATTCTCTCTTCAAATAAATCCACTTTGTAACTGTCAGGTTTTTCCTAAAAGATGATTATCGAAATGGCATTAACTTCAATGGTTCCCAGTAACACACAGCATAGAAATTTAGTACTTTAGTATGTTTTTGACCATCAGTTGGTCATCTCTGACTGACCTTTATCATTTCATCAAAGGGAACTACTGCTTTAAACAAATTGATCAACTTTCTGTTCCTAAAACAGGCTCCATGTTTTCTGTCTCTGCTTCATTCGTCATACTACTTCCTTCACCTGAGTTATCTTCTCCTATAACCTTTATTACTAATATCCTCTCAGAGCTTAATACAATGAAACTTCTGTTGCTGGAAAGGCTGCCCAAATTGAAAAACAAATCTCTAACCAATGAAACTTACATAGAATTCATTTTTATCAGCTGCATTAAATTATTACATCCTGCTTTATAAGACAGTTTGTGTGCATATGTGTGTCTCATCATTCCTCTGAAACTATTAAGTTCTTGGGTGAAAAAATAAAAACATTATCTTATTTATCTTTGCATTCTCCACAGTGGTTAGGTATGTAAACGTCACTCGTCAAGTATTGCAATACATTCCAAATGACTAGGAATGAAAGGTAAAAGTAAAAAGAATTAGTTTATTCAAATTTAAAGCTTTCACATTTTTCTTATTCTTAAAATCTGAAGAAAAATAATAAAACCCTTGTATGTTTAGTATACATATAAAAGTATATATGTGATATATAGTGTACACTTATTTGAGTTATTTATAAGTGATGGAGGAAGAAAAAGAGATAAAAATTTTTTAGGTATATAGCGAAATGATTTTAGATCCTTAGGAAATAGTGTAGCAAAGCAACTGCAGAAGTCTAAACCACAGTTGTTATTTCCCCTCAGTCCAGGGTATGCAGGAGACAGACAAGGGAGAAGAGGAGAGAAGGGCACTAACTAGTCCTCTTTTCCCTTCCTTGATAGACATTCAGATACTTCTTGAACCTTTTACAGTTCCCTCTAAACATGCGGTAAAGATGAAAAATGTGCATAAAGGCCCTTGATAAAGGAAAGTATAACCACTGAGTGATACTAGCAGGTTACAAGTAAGAACACTAACCAAAAGACAAAGACAATTCAAACACATTTAACAGTTTTAGGACCTTTAAATACAGTAACCAAAGTCTGTCCTAGCAGCTTCAATACTCTAGGACATATTCCCAAACCTAGAATTAAACAGTCTATTAGAAATAATGATGACAGAATACCAGCCCTAAAACCACATGTTTCAGTCCTTAGCACTGACTCATTTTCTCTTCCATATGGTGACAATCGGATATTAAGAAAACGTTTTCATACAGCCATATGTACTACTTGTTGTATAATACACAAAATTAACCACTTCCTCATTCAAGATAAAAATTTTACGGACAAAAATCACAAAAAAGTAAACTGAGAAACTGGAATGTAAATAGAAGATAAAATCTCTCAAAACAGGTTAAATGCAATCAATAGTGATTAGATTGTAATGGAGTTTTGATAAAAGCAAAAAAAAGGAACTTGATCAAATAAAAATTTGCAGTGAAGGGCTATATTTTATAAAGGTTTATAAAGTTATACATAGGCTATATTTTAATACTGTACCACTTAGTAGTCAATATACATTATAATTTCATCATGAATACACCTTTAAAAGGACAATGTATTTCACATGTATCCAAAGTACAGAAAACCCACACGTCTTACAGAGAGACAGGCACTGGATATAGCTCTCATGGCCTCAATTAAATTCAAGAACTGGTAAAAAGGTGATTTCTTTATTCAAAATCTTTTAGGGACAAAAAGGGAGAATGATGGCAATATTTCTGTTATCACGTTTCACTCAGGCTACTCCCCTTCGTAGACAGCGCTTCCTTCTTGCCCTGATCCTAACTACTCTTCAGTGTTCCTTCATAAAGACTTTTTCATCCACTCCAATCCCGCTTTCTTTCCCTCACCTGATACAATTAAGTGTACTGCTCTTTTGCTGCTACCACATTTTGATGAATATTTTTGTTAAGCTTCTTGTCTATACTTTACCGTGTTTCCCCATCCCAACAAAAAAGTCCTTTGAGGACATGACCATGCTTTGTATTTGAGAGCACTCAGTATAGTGCTAGAAAGTCTACTTGCAGAAGATACCAGTCTTCCGAATCACAGTTAAGTCAGAACAGATGTGTAAGAGTTCTGAGCATGGAAACAATTCAGTTAATCTGATCAAAGGAGTAAGACTAAATCCATACAATTGACATAGTCTCTGCTAAAATATTAAACAGATTAAGTCTGCAAGTTTTTTATATTCATTATTTTATTTCTAAAACCTCTGTTTTCTAGGTCTATTTAGCAAAATGTTAGTGGAACTAACTACGCTTTTAGGCTCTCAGTGTTGGAAAAGAATTCAGAAATTACCTTAATCAACCACCTCTTTTTTCCATGATGAGAACAGGCCCAGTGTTTACAAACTGACTCATCCTGCCGCAGTTATTACTAGAATTGATTCCAGAACCCAAGTTTCTTGAATTCTAGACCAGTGCTCCTTTTATTAAACCATACTATTCTTGCAAATTAGGCACTAAATAAATGATTGTTATAGGTAAACAAACCTAATGACAACAATATGAACACGTTATTTTACTAAAATAATTATTAGCATATTATGAATTGTGAAATCAAGTTTTAGTTAAACAACACATACCCCTATTTATGCTTATACATACTCAGATTACAGGAGCAGGAACAAAGAGAAAACTCAGAAGAAATGTGAATTATACAGTACTAATTTTACAATACAGGACGTCCTCCAATGTTTTGTTCACAGTTGTTTCATTATAACATTGATGATATGTCATAGGAATTTAACTTTTTTATATCAATTAGTCTACAGTGAAATTGGTTTGATTATATATGTCAATTCACTTTAAGTTGCAGAACTTATCGATGATGTAAGGACTTACTATACTTTTAAATACATATTTTTTTTCCAAGGGAGAGTATGAACGCAGTACCCCACTACCACAAATTATGCAGTCAAGTTTCCCACATTTGGGGAAATCACAGGGGTCAGCACATCTGAAGTGCAATGCATAAGCCTTGCCATGGGAAAATCACCTTCGTGATCATGGTATCTCCTCTGCCAGGTCAAGCATAAAATACATATATTATTTAAATATATATTTTAAAAAGTAAGGTAATAAACAGTAGTCAAATAGAAGTCGTTAAGTCCCTAATGGAAAACCTCAATATAATTACAAGAGATTACAAAAAAGCCAACTAGTAGATTGGTTTGTCATCACATTGTTGTATCTAAAGATCTTAGCACTTTCTGCCAGCATCATATGGCACAAAGACATAAAAAAAGGTCTTTTAAAGGTTGTATTTACAAGCACTCTAAATCACAAGAAAGCTTACAGACCATTAAAACCCAATTAGTCTGTGAAAATGCTGGCATTTGCTTCAATTGGTCAGAGCAGAAGTAATTCTCTGCTGCCATGCTAAATGGTAGTAATATTTTCTCTATAATGTGTTATTCCTACCTTATATAGGCGTGACCTAGAGATTTGCAAAACTCCTCAATCGCCAATGCCTTTGTACCATTCATATTAGAAATATAGCCAGGGATGAAGATAATTCCTGGACTTTTGCCTTTTAGTTTCTTATAAGCCAGGTTTGGAAGATCTGGTCGACTAAGGAAAGAGATTGATGCCTTTTGTCTGCAAGCTAAACAAAGTACATAAAACATAAACCATAGTTTGCAAATACAGCTTTTGGAAAACTATATATATATATATATTTTCAATCTTAACTTTCTTGTTGAACTGATGTCAAATACTATTTCAACTTAACAGAAAAAAATAAGTAACAGACTTAGAGTATTAAAGTCACAAGTCTGTGCATATCCTTTAAAATCATTTCAAAATCAGTACCTTCTTTGAGCAAGGTCCATTCTTGATTCTTCCAAAATACACGATGAGGTGGAAATTTCAAGGCAACAAGACAGAGAGTCATCAAAAATGTTTTCCTATTGCTGCTATGGCATCTGTCCGAAATAGTATCAATCAACATTCAGATTTACTTACACTAACTTTAGCACTCTTGTGGAATTTTTGTCTTTTTTAATTTTTTACTGTTTGAGGAGTTTCACATCCTCTACTTTCTGGTGGGGAGAGGGAAAAACAAGCTTGGTATGCCCTTGGGGGAAATACTTCCAAAGGGGGAGAGGCTTTGCCCCCTTTACTATTGACTCCCTCTCCACCCACTAAATCATGGGTCATAGTCAATCATAATTCTCTGTCAGCTGAGGTGCATTCAAAGAACAGTTTCTTTACCAGTAACCTCAAAAAATGTACCATATCATAGTATTAATTCTGGAAAAAGATTTCTCATAAGACTCTGCAGTTACTGTGTTTTATTTGTTGGTCAGGGTTTCTGTGATTGGTACACACAGATATTAATGTAATTTAAGTCCAACAGCACAAATGGTAAACCTTACAAGGTTACACCATTTCATTGTTTTTAAGTTCTTTTCCTACTATAAAATCAGTATTTTATCTTCAAAAAATGTAGAAAGATATTTTTTAAATAACAACAAAAAAGTCACATATAAATATACCTCCTTCTCCAAAGAAATCGAGTTTGTGCATTTCCTTACAGTCTTTTTCCGGATCAACAAAACCTGTTATTTATATTATATGAAGCTCCCCTCCACTTTATTGGGGCAACAAAAACGTCTCAGTCTCTCCTATGTGAGTTGATAAAGTTTACCTCATTCTGGATTTAAGAAGTTGATTTTTAAAAAATTAAGTTTGAGACCTTAAAGCTATTTTATGCATAGTGAAATATTCCAAATTTAAAACTTTTAGCGAAAAACAGGGCTAATAGCCAGTTATGTTGGTTGGCAGATTATAAAAGCAAAAATCTTCATTTCCCATTTCTTTAGCTCAGCACTCAAAAATCCTTCCTACCCTCTTAATACTACTTCAAAACAGAATGTCTCCGTGAGACCATGATAATTTATTTCACCTTGGTAAATTGTAAGTGCACAGGTTAACACTCTATCTACAAATGCTCTTTGCACAATAAGGATGAGCTCAAAGCCTGGTGCCTAAGTGCTCAATGACTAAATAAATGGAAGAGGGTTATAGTCTTGAATTAAATGACATACTATACTCCGTTAGAGAAACATATATCACTTCTTTTGGTTGTCCACAATTAAATGTAAGTTAAACTGATTATATGTATTAAAAACTTTTTTTAACTCAAAACAAAGAGCATCTGCAACAATTCCCATTCTAAACAATCACGCATCTGAGTTGTCAAGTCGTGAACACAACACCGACAACTAAAAAGGCATAATTTACAAAGACAGACCATATGTATATGGGAGGGTGTGACTGGGGATGGGGTAGGAATGGGGAGGAACCAAACACAAGATAAAGAAAATATTCAAGGACTCGGACTCCGATTTTTGGTTTAAGTTCCAGTTTCCTTTGTCAAATAATGATTATGGTTTTCACTGAGCGGGAGCATCGAGAAAAACTAGACAAAACTAGAAATCAGGCTTGATCTTCATAAACTTTTACGAAGAAAATGTTCAAATTGTAAATCGCCTCAAGTCAAAGCCTTCCCCCCTCCACTTAAAACCTGCAAAGAAACAAAAGACAACTAAAAATGAAACGCATTACATGCACATGCTACTTTTTCCTATTTTGCGCAGAGAAAGCAGGCAGAGAGCAGGATCTTTAAACTAAAGAGCGTAAAGCTTTAGCAAGGGCTGGGGCTGTCCAGGGTGCCCCCGGGCCGCCCCAAACCTCTCTTCACAGCCTTCACCAGAATTATCGCAGACGCCTACAGCTAGGGTGCCGAGAATGGGGGAAGAATATTTTTAAATAGGGCGCCAAAAAGGCACAGGACCAGAACTGACGAAAGTGGGGTATTCGAAAGAACGCGTTCTACTCTCGCCTTTCAGACACTAACCTGGGAGCCACCGTGGCACCCCGTCGGACCTCCGTGCAAGTACCGCGCTGAGGCCTCGGTGGAAGCCGAAGGAGACTGCCGTCAAGCCCCACCTCCAACACAGAACCCCAGCACCCGCAGCCACCATTCCCACGCCAGCCATCTTCCCAGCGGCCCCTGCGCCCCACGCTGCCCTACCTTGACTCGCAAGGCTCACAGGAACCGGGGCTGCGCATGCGCCGCCGGCTGGACGACGGGATTTGCTCCAGCGCGCCGTGAAGAGTCGAGGCACCCTAAGGTGTGCGTGAGCAGAGCGTCGTCGCTCTCGTCAATCTTTAGCTTTTGAGCTTTTGGTTCCCCTGCAGTTTTTGCGCGTTACAGTCGTGAATGCATGCGTGCCCTTTCGGTAGACTACTTATTCCAAGGGGAGGTAGTGCAGGGCTGGAAGCGCGGAGAGGAACGTAATCAGGTTTCCTAGATTGGAAGCTTTCTCATCATCCCCAGGATATCGAGCAGTGGAAGCGCAAAATGCCAAGTTTGCTGCATTGGAAGTCACTTTCACTTTTAACCTGCACCAGAAATGCTTCCAGGACATGACTTTAAACCTACTTGTATGAATACCAAGAATAGAATGAAATAGTCATCGCTTCTTTGCCCCTTTTAACTTAGTTTTTCTAGCTCTTAGTCTCCCTGGCTACTGAATTATTCCGACCTCTGCCTCACGGTACACGCAAAAATAAGCCCCCGTAGATTTAAAAAAAAAAAAAATCTCAACGGAAGAATAAAGTCTAGAGAATTAAATACACTTAGGAGGGTATTTTATAGTCTTGGGGTAGAAGGAACTTGAATCTTAAGATTTGACACTCCAAATCATCAAGAATAAAAACGTTAGACTACATACAGATTTAAACATTCTGAATGGAGAAAAGTATCTCTATTCAAATACGTCTAGAAAAAATTCACTTTACATCACAGCAGAACATTATTCCATTTAGTCTGCCTCTAGAACTGATAAAAAAAATGTAATGCCAATAAAATTGGTCAATAGCGAGGAATAGGCAGTTCATATGCATAAACATGGTGTTCAATGTCACTAACTGAAAATTTAAAAATATAACATACCATTCCCCCCACCCATTGGATTGGCAAAATTAAAAACAGCAACTATTGGCAAGAATGCTGGGAAACTGGCACTTATCTATGGTTGGTAGGAATGTAACTTGCTAAACTCTTGTCAACTGACTACATTTTTACAATTTAAAATATGCATCACTTTTAATGCCCTTGATCCAGTGGCCGCACTTTGTGACTATGCTATGGAAAACAATATTAACACATAGGGTGTATATTATTACTACAGCAACATTTTTAGCAGCAAACTGAAGAAAAAAATGGAATGGCCAATAATAGAAAAATGGTTAAATAAATTATTGTACCAGCTCTGATAGCCTTCAATGTAATTCAGGAAAGTCTGAAGCATCAACAAGCAAGGACTTATCTAGTTTTTTACTACTTAGAAGTTACCGTTGTTAGTATACTTGGAGTAAAGCCACTTTTGCTGTGTTGGTCATAAATATTGGATAAGGGGTTGGGGTTAGAGGCAAAGGCAAAGGCTAATATGAATGAGCCTGTCTTTGGATTCCTGAGAACCTGTCCTTTTGGAACATACTGGAAAAGTTAGCTAAATAAAAACTGAATGGGTATCTTTCTTGAGAGGTGTAAGACCAGAAACAGATGGCAAGGACAGCCAATTTCAGGACATACTTTGAAAGTTGCTGAGTTTTGACAGTTCTCCATTAGGCCTGTCCTAGCTGCTGAAGGGACAAGTGAGTATGGTGATGCCCAATGCCTGCCACTTCATCCCTTATATCACAATGGTAAATACTAATCCTCAAGGTTTTTGGATAATTGCAAACATTTTCAATTATTCCTGTACCTACTTTCTTTATCTTTGCATGCCTTCTTGCATTTTATGTGCAGCAAAATGAAAAAAATCTGACTTTTCCTCATCATGGGAAAAGCACTACACACAAAAAGCAGGGAAACCTGCCCTAGCCAGGTAGCTCAGTGGGTTAGGGCACCATCCTAATAAGCCAAGGTTTGTGGTTCACTCCTGGTCAGGGCACACACAAGATTTAACCAATGAATGAATAAATAAGTGGGACAGAAAATCGATGTTTCTATCTCTTTCTCTCTAAAATCAATAAAAAATATTAAAATTAAAAAATTAAAAAGCTGGGAAACCCATTGATTATTTCCTCTACCCACCTGTCAGTCTAACAAATCAGAAAAAAAATGTTGGTACTGTCAAATGAAGATACTTTTACTGACTGATGGGCTTGGAGTAGGCAAACTTGTTTCCACTGACCTGCTGTAAATGTTGTCTTCACTGGGGCAGCTGGGGGAGACATATTGTTGAGGGACAGTTTCCTCTCTCTCTGAAATCTGCTGCTTTAGCTCAGGGAGACAGATGAGGGCCCCGCAGAACAAAGCCCTAGGGCTTCACTTCATACCTGCATGATTTATTCCTTGTCAGAAGAATAAGTAAATGCAGTCCTTGTAATCCTCAGTACTAACTGCATTTGCACAAGAGGACGACAAGATATCAGAGTTTTCTGGGTTTAACTTATTTTGTCAGCAACAGGAATGTGACTAGAGAAACTTCTAAGTACTGTTTTTTAAACTACAAATCATATTGTTAGCACACAACATCCTTTGTATAAATTCTACAATGCATTTTGGTTGATTAATTCACCCTTCTCATGCCCCATCATGTTACCAATCAGTAACGTCCTAATGAGAGATGAGTTTATTTTCAAATGTGAAATCTGATCAACATTTTAATCCAAACTCAACATATGTTAACACACACATTTCAAAGGTTTACTAGATCATGCAAGATATAAAGTTGATTAGAATATCTTTACAATCCTATGGCAAAAGTACATTACAGAAAAGTTATATCTTTACATTAACCAAGAAAATTTTAGCAATGGCGTTTCACTCTTTTAGACCATTACAGGATTTAGGGGTGATGTCTGAAAAAAACAGATAATAAAAATGTATTCTGCAATCATAATTTTGTCCTCCAATGTTCAAGTAGAATCATGTGTCATCCAGTTGCAAAATCTTATGATTGGCAATGTGTATACATGTACATAAAGCACACTGCAAGTGTAAAAAAATTGTACCCGGTCAGGCCTGACAAACATTTTATAGACACTTCCAATGTAATCATTTTACCTTGTGCTAGTAAGTAATGTCATTATTTTCTACCTCTACTCATTTGCCAAGTTTTAGGAAAGTGTACATTCATACTTACAAACACACAACATAACAAACCATGATAAATGGCACTTAAAAAACCATTATGAAAAAGACTTGCCTGAAGTCATTTAATTCAACAAAAATTAATTTAACACTAAAAAACAAAGGCTAACTATAAAGAAATATATAACAAAATAGTACATTACAGAGAACATTCTTGAACTTCATTTGACTTTTTTATAAAACCACAGCACTTCTGTAAATATTTTAATTGGTCTGTTCTTTGGTTAAAAAAAAAACAGCTCTGAATTCATAGTTATGTCATGTGAGGCTGCAATGAACAGGTATGCTCCACAACAAAGAAAAACCAGACAATCTAAGGAAATTGGCTACTGGTTATCTTTATTCTCAGCAGTGGGAATGGAGAACTCTTCAGGAAAATAAGCACCTAACACTAAGTACTCTATTTTAAATTGCCCAATGTGACAGAATGTCTGTCTAAAATGGCTTCTTTCTAAAACATACAGCTTTTTGTTCTTTCTCTTTTTACAAAAAGTGGTTTGCTATACATGTAGCGTAGCTTGCACTGGTGACAACTCTTCAATGTCAACTTCCTGGGCACTTGATGTCATCAAAGTATCATTTTAAAGTGTAGAGTAACACTAGTGCAGTTCATCCCCTGAAACTACTACCATTAAACAGAAGTCACATCACGTCTTTGGTTTTGGTGCAATACTTAAAAAAATAGGGCAAAAGCTCCTCCTATAATATATTCTTCTCCAAGCCCTTGTTTGCTTATATTTATAAAATAATCTTCAGCAGAATGCTCCTAGTTTCAAAAAGCCAGTTGACTACAATAATGTCAATGCCAATGATTTGGGTGCTAAAATAATTTCATATTTCCAAGTATGTACACTTTGTAAACTGTTTAGTTCACCGAAATCAACAATTAATAAAAATATTTTATTAGAAATGCTCTTATAAGTGATGCTATTTACCAAAATAGTGTTTTCTTTTCTCATAGGTGCTTCAATGCTTCAATTCTTTTGCTATTTTTGACCAAGCCTTGCATTAAAACCTCTTATTTCTCATTCACAAATGACTTCCTGTTAACACGAAAGGAGTTCTGAGTATACGCAGTTAAAGGGATGGGTCTGTTGGGTATTTCCCTCTGGGGTAGTTTATGGCTTCATTCTTGTAAGAGATTATTGCAGTATGCCCTGAAGGGGACTGTTGCTTCAGTTCACTACAACAAGAAGTGAGTGTAGCCTTCTGCCCCAGTCACTATAACATCCATCCAGATCCGCATGGCTTCCGGCGATGGGGCAACCATATAGTAGATTCTGTCATGTGTCTTGACACTAAAGGTGAGTAGTGGATTAGGGCTCTAAAATTCAAAACAAGGAAAAAGATGTAACACAAGCATCTTAAAATTGTAACATGAAATAACACAAGTCATATATCAGGGCTTCTTCCTTTTTAAAAGTTCCAACTTATGCAAGTCTACATAGGCATTACTTTTGCTCTAGTATGACCTATACCCAGTCCCAAGACTTTTCTCAAGACTATCTTTCTGGCCTTTCTGCAGAAGAAATTTCATGGAGAGCTCACCAATCCCCTTACCAGCTACTTTGTAAAGCTCTATGAGAGTACCTAGTTGATTGTGGATGCTCGTTAATAAACAGTAACTATTATTCTTAGCCTTACTAAGATCCTTCCTCATACCCAGGTAGTATCTTCTAAGAATCCTAGCAAAGAGTCACTTGGCGGGGTCTCTCCCAAACCAAGATGTCCAAAATATTCCCTCACTTCACCATGACTTTTTTTTCCACAAAAAGATCAGCTACCCTAATCACTTCTATGTTTACTTTTCCAGCGCCATTGTCATAAATGTCTGTTACATCA